TGTGGTAGTTCTGTATGTTGTTTCATGGTTGGCATCATCTGAGGTCCTTTGGGGTAATATGATCATATTTTCTTGACCTGGTAAGGTCATATGGTAATGTAATAAACCATGTCATTTGAAGTCACAGCTGTGTGTATAAGTGGACTGAACTGTCCTACACTGTTTCACATCACAGTCAAAAGCACCACATATTACAGGTTACAGTGTTCATAGTGTCTGCCCAAGCACAGTGACACTGAGCCTATTTCTGCCTTGGATAGTGCACTAAACTCAGCAGAAAACATGTTGAAAATGGACAATAAATCTATTTATCAACACAATCTTTTGCAATATAAGCTTTCATGAAGCAACATAATAGCGTGACATACACAGATATTGTTTGAAAAAAAAAAGATGTGTGACTTGATGCAATTTTAATCTTTAGTGAGAGCCACACAAACACAGCATAATCTGACTGAATTTACACAATTTACAGAGACACTTTGGGGTTTTAATGCTATAATGTGTAGACTAATTACCACTTGGATGTAAATGTGATTCCCCTCTACATGGAAAATAAATGAGATTTCACAACAGTCAAGTTTGCAATAATTCTAACTGCTTATGTGTGCAGTGTCTCAGGCTTGTGAGGATAAACAGAGGATGTCATAACCACAGATGGGAACTGAATTCCAATTTTAGTGCCATTAACATTGTTGTGCTTTTAAGGAATAAATAAGACTATTTGGAGAAAAAAAGAGCAATTACATTGACAAACGATGAGATGATTTCAATAATAAATAGATTTTAAACAATTTGTCTGTATAGACATTGTTTTGAGTCTTTTAAAACAGAACACTCTTATAAAATACACTAATAGCAGCAAAACAGTTAAAGGGGTCATATGATGCGATTTCAATTTTTCCTTTCTCTTTGGAGTGTTACAAGCTCTTGGTGCATAAAGAAGATCTGTAAAGTTGCAAAGACTACCGCTCACTCTAGCCCGCCGTGTGCTTCGTTGTGAAAGCATGGTGTTAGTGTTTCTACTGCTTTTATAAAAGTCATAGGCCACCAAAGTGTACCGCATTTGTGGAAGAAGCCACATTACAGCCCAGTTCTGTCCAGACGAGTAAAAACTCCTATATAAGTCATTATAATCCATAATTATGTCCCCACTGGTTGCAACAATTGACTCATTTGTAATGTGTTTTCATGTTTTTGAATCATCGCTCCGGCCGGACAGGGCATCACAGTATGGTAAGGGGCGTAACATTTCTGTCACACGCTTGAGGTATTCGGCCAATCACAATGCACTGGATAGCTGGCCAATCAGAGCACACCTTGCTTTTCAGACCGATGAGCTTTGTAAAAATCGACGCGTTTCAGAAAGGCGGGGCATAGAGGAGAAACAATAATGTACAGTATGTGGAAAATAATGTTTTTTTTTTACTTTAAACCGCATAAACACATTTCATTACACCAAATACACAAAATAATGTTCGTTTTAGCAACATCATATGACCCCTTTAAAACAGAACACTCTTATAAACTAAAAGCAACAGAGAATAAACAAGTTTTGAGACATGACTTGAACTCAGACAAAGTGGAAGCCGATCTAATATAGAGTGGGAGCTTGTTCGCCAGTGTCGGGCCGGCCACTTCAAAGGCTCGGTTACCCCTCGATTTTAGCTGGGTTTTGGGTATCTGAAGGAGGAGTTTATCTTTGGATCTAAGGCCTCTGGTGGGGGAGTAGGGGTGAAGTAGATCGGACAAATAAGAAGGTGCTAAATCATTTAATGATTTATATGCCAGTAATAAAATTTTAAACTCAATTCTAAAGTTAATCGGAAGCCAGTGAAGGGATCTCAGAAGGGGGGTAGCATGAACAAATTTCCTCTTTCCCTTCAGGAATCTCGCCGCAGCATTTTGAACGACCTGTAAGTGTGCTGTTTGGGACTTAGATATACCAAAATAGAGGGAATTGCAATAATCCAGGTGAGAGGTAATAAGAGCATGGATAGCAATCTCCAAGGAGCGCTTAGGAAGCAAGGATTTGATTTTCGATAGAGAACGATGAAAGAAAAAGCTGGACTCAATGACCGCGCTAATCTGCTTGTCAAATTTGAGGCAACTGTCTACCATCACATCTAGATTCCGTACTTGGGGAGAGATTAATTGATTTAAAGATTCAAGGTCAAGGTGATTTCTTGGCCTGAGTTCTGAGGGGTCAAAAAACAATTATTGTCCGATACAGCCAAAGGCTAAAGCCTCTATTTTACAGTTTCTAAAACTAGATACTTTTCATGCTAGGTAAATGTTATGTTAGATAATACATTATCAAACATATCTAACAGGTCAGAGAATAAAAGCATGGTGTTAGTGTTTCTACTGCTTTTATAAAAGTCATAGGCCACCAAAGTGTACCGCATTTGTGGAAGAAGCCACATTACAGCCCAGTTCTGTCCAGACGAGTAAAAACTCCTACCTCAGAATGAGCCTAATAGACATTAAACCTGAGCTTAGATGAAAGATTTTAATAGTAGCTTTGCCTTCGACACTTTTACTCTACAGCCCTATTTCATAACGCAATTTAACATGTTCTAAATGTTCTTCCTCATGCTGCTCTCCCCGGTGGAAATCGTGCTGCCATCTTAAGTGCCTTTCCATTATTCTAAAAGCCCAAGTGTAAAACCGACCCTTCGATGGATGAGGGGACGAGTCAACAAAACAGGAGGAGAACTCAAGGGAACATATTACCCATAAGGCATAGCATGCCATCACATTTCTCTCAAAAAACATAAAGTTGACAGGAAAGCTGCTGGAAAGTGAGAATTAATTTGTTTAGTGATGACAACTGAATATAAAGGCGTAAACGGCAGCTGATTTTGTCTGATTCAAGTATGTTCCACTACACAGTGTCATGATCAAAAAGTGACAAGTCTTATGACATTTAAGCTTTGTGCTGCCAAATCCTGAGGGTAAATGGATGACAAGCCTTTATAATTGAAATCACGACCAGTACAAAGCTTAATCTTGACCCTCAGGAGGAAAGTTTGCTTTAAATGTATCATTGAAACTGACCTGACAAGTGCAGACACTGTGACTTCTGCTGTAAGTTAGACCTGCTATTCAGGTGACCAATTTATCATCGATCTTCCTGTTTGGCTGTTATTTTCTGGTGATTTTCTGTAAGAGAGCTTCCCATAACGGCCTTCACTGCATAAGAACAAAATAAAAAGGAGGTTTCATCCATTTTGCAGCCAGCACATTCATTTGTCTTTCAGGAATTATTAAACATATCACTGAATTATCAGTACACATATGATATCTCAACCTTGACATGCTTTAGCATAAATGTTTCTCATTCATACAGTCATGCTCGGCTTTCTATCATTTCCCTTCTCATCGCTGTTTCCCATGAATTAACTGTACAATATACAGTGCAAACACTGTATAATGTCTCTAGACATATTGTAATCACACAATTTTCGCTTTTATAATGAACTACTGTATACTGTTCTGGACGGTTTGGAGTCGGTAAGATTTTTAATAGCTGTATTCAATAAGGATGTTTTAAACTGATCAAAAGTGGAAGTAAAGATTTACTGTTTTCAGCATTGACGGTAATAATAAGAAAAGCACCAAATCAGCATATTAGAATGATTTCTGAAGGATCATGTGACACTGGAGACTGGAGTAATGGCTGCTGAAAATTCAGCTTCGCCATCACAGGAATAAATGACATTTTAAAATATGTTAAAATAGAAAAAAAAATAATTGTAATATTATTTCACAACATTACTGTTTTTACTGTGTTATCGATCAAATATATTGCAGCTTTGGAAGGCATAAGGGGCGTCTTTCAAAACAATCATATTGATCCAAAACTTCTGAACTGTAGTGTGTGTATAAGAGGGATTATGCTCATTTTTATGGGCATATGTCAGAGTTACATGAAACTTTGCTGTAAAAAAAAATTAAATAGGAGATGGTTTAGTCAAAATGTGACTACATTTCATCCAAGCTCTCCATCTCTGAGAAGCTAAAAGTCCATAAACTTAATTCAAACTTGAGAATCTTCATTAGCGCTGAGAACTGGCAGGTCTCGTGTGATCAGATTATGAGATTTGCTTAGGATTCATAAAATGAAACCAAATGTCTCGTTTGAACTCAGGAGGCTTGTTCTAGTGTCTCTGAAATATTTGATGGGAAAAACGGAGGCAGTTCATAAGGACAGTTTTCTGTGAGGACTGGAAGACAGACAGACACCATCGGAAAAGAAAAAACAAACAAACATCAAGGCTCATTAGAATAATGTATTGTGATGGTGGCACTATTATACCATATTTCTGGGGTCTGCATCAGGATAAACAAAACTATTTCTGCACAGCCATAACCAAAATGATCCTTCAGTTTATCATTAGGGGAATGACATTAACAAAAATGTCTTCCAGCTAGTGGGTTCATTGTGCAGATTCTGGATTAAGATTGATTACATCCATGCAAGATCTTTAGTAATAATGAAGTTAGAATGAGACAATGTTTTCACACCACCATCATCATCATCATCATCATCATTTCAAGTAAACATAAACATGTATATTGGCATTCAGCTGTTTGTTTAAAAAAGAAATGAAGCCAAAAAAAAAAAAAAAAACAATAAAAAAAAAAAACAATTTGAGTTGAATTACTGAAATAAATTAACTTTTCCACGACATTCTAATTTATTGAGATGCACCTGTATGTGTTTTATGGAATTAAAATGCCTTTATTTCTATTTTTTATTTGGACATTGTTAAAGCTTTGCAACACTTATAAAACAGTACAAGTTATGAAACACAATCTTGATCAATGTCCAGACCACTGTGACAGATGTCCTGATGGTTCGCAGTCCCAGCATGCAAAAAACAAGGCGAACAGAAAATACATCCCAGCTTTAGTCTGGCATATCAAACTAGAATAGAAAGGGGAGGAGCAAAGTAACTGGGAAGGAGAGAGAAGATGGAGGAAACTAGGAGCCATCTGCTTTCACTTTAATATTTTGACTGGACGAGTCCATAGAAACAGTTAGAATAAACAAGAGTGAGAAACGTTCAGTCAGTGATCCATTGCATCTTCTTCATCATCACTGCTTTGAATAAAATCATCCTCAATGTTGTCTAAAGACGGTCCAGCTTCATCATCATCATCATCATCAGCCCCATGCTCTTCACCACCCAGCTCTGCTAACAGCTGCTCCGTATGCTCAAACATGGGTGCGTCCTCACAGCGCAGCTTCACATAGAGCTACAGATTAGGGAAAGAGAGTGAGAAAAAAAAAAAACAGATCTTATGATTATTATCAGAGGAATAGTGGCAGTTTGTTTGGAGAGTAAAAAGAGAAATCTCAGCTTTGACTCCAAGGGTTGGCATGTTTTGCAGTGTGAACAAGTCGCCACTAAATCAAAACTCTCTTCTCTTATATATTTCTCTCTTATCTAACTTCTCTTTTCTCCATCTTTCAAGGACTCTCTCTTTCTCTCCCTCTGTCTTTCTTCAAGAAGGTCCAGTGCCAGCAAAGTCAGCTGGCAAATTCCACAAATTAGTGACTCCTTTCCAAGCACAAACGAAGCGAGTTCTGCATCAGTGGGAAATTGTCCAGCAAGTGACTGAGTGCTTGCCAGGAGAGGAAGAGAATTCAATCCCCCCACTGTCTCAACTCTTATCACTGTAAAATATACCCTGAAAGAACATGATAAAAAAGCAATTCTCAATGTGACTGGCAAACAATATATTGCCCCCACACTTTCTCCCTTTGGTTAACATAAAAAAGCTTGCTGGGGATTTCTTCCTGTTTCAGCAGGGGAATCAGTGCAATTGATAACAGAACATTTCACAGGTTCAGTTCAGTCTCACTGCCAAATGTGAGTATAAGGGATATTCATGATTAATGAGCATCATTTTAATCAATTAAGCTTAACAAGTCAGTTAATTTCAGCACAAATACATTCAGATGCAAGCAGATGTAAAAATTAAGCAAGCACAACATAATGAGTTTGAACTTTTTTTTTACAAATAAAGACTGCATTGACTGCAACGTAATAATGTATTAAAAACGTCAACAAGAAACACTTGAAATTACACCATGATTTGACAAATTCAAAGTTAATATAATTGTCTGAAATATTTCACAATGCACAAAAATACTGTATTAATACAGAAAGACTGCATTTTTTTTTCTTATGAGGTATTAGCAGTGTGTTTGGTGTTCAGACCTCTCTTCAGTGAACTGTAATCATGCAGACGCACAAGTTCCGTCTACTCTAACAACCAGACTTTAATTAAGCACATTTCTTATTAATACTTGAAAGAGCAGTCATTTAAAAAGCTGGAGTGACCCCACAACTTATCAACCTCTCCTTTGCTGTTCTTTCCTCTCTTTCCTTCTTTTTATTTAATGAGTTTTAGCACCATAGAACCTTATTTAACTCCCTCAGGAGTGAAACCACAGAGTCCTTCACACTCACAGACTAACCAGGTCATCTCATACACACATACTGTCAGTGGGCAGCCCGTTGCTCCCTTATATCACCCTCAGAGCCGTGGGAACGGTCGCTAAGCAACAGCGAGTGGCGACAGGGCTCTCTGGGCCTCGTGGGATCTCATTTACGGACCGATCATAAGACCCCAGGAGAGTCTGAAACTCCTACCTGCTCTACAGACCTGACCTTCACACACACACACACACACTCACTCACTCACACAAACATTACAACCATTGACCACAAAGCTTTAGTGAGACCCATGAGGGCGTTTTAACACAGTGTTGATGTGTGTGCATGTACTTTAGGGCCATTTTGCTGCTGGACATCAAGGTTAATTGTGATGATAAAGCAACGCTTAGACATTAAACTCATACTGGCTCACAGGACCAGAACATTTAAATGTCTTTTGAATAATTTGTTATATACTGGTTAATGCATAACTGGAGTGGATAACTACCTTGGATGGCCATTGCGGACGTTACTGTACATTTCATTCCAGGTTCAGCACTCAAATTAATAGACCAATTTATATCAAAAGAACAAACATTTCTAGGTAAATGTAATATGCCTGGTTCAGAGAATTAAAAACCCACTTTACTAACCAGAAAAAAAGCATAGGTAATTTTTTTGTCTCTTATATAAAGCATTTTAATAAAGAAGAACCTTTTAAATGTTATTTGGTTGAAGCACATTCATTAGCTCACTTGCATTAGTCACCTAAAAAGTGACTAAAATATGTGAGTGCTTGTGTGATGGGGCTTGGAAGAGAAAGGGAAACAGAAATCAGAACAAATTATTTGTTAAAAATATTAACTGCAGTGCATTTAATTGTTGTATGAAATCAATGAAATTCAGTGCAAATATACACACAAAGTATGTATATGTATACAGTATATAGATTTGTAAAGTTTATATGGACGGATGAAATGATAGATAGAACAATAGATAGAAAGAGACAGACAGACGGACAGATGGATGGATTTAATAAAAAGACTTCACTCAAGAGATCTTTTGACAGAAGAGATTTTTTGACAGAATTTCATTAAGTAAGGTGACATACAGCATCTGCAAACATGGGAAATCCTGTCTCCTCTGATAGGAAAGTAATTAAAATGCCTTAAAAATAAAAATTCATATATTTGCAATATTTGCAATATTTTGTGTAAATATATCTCTAAACTTAACACATAATCCTCCTGGGAGCAATACACTGAGATGATTTTCCGCAGGGATAAAACAAGCATGGCATACAGAGAATTACCCTGTACCACTCCACTCACCCCCTCTGCCAATAAATAAATTAATTGAGAAACACTTGTGCCACAGCTCCAGCGATTTGGATTCACAGATCTGAGTTGTGTTTATTTAATCAATCTAGAGGAGGATGGCACTCCAGCTAATGTGTTACCTCAGCAACAGCCACCATCTGGAGTTCCACCCTGTAATTACTGAGACCTGATATCCAGTCCCGATAAGAGTTAGGGTGTATTCACACCTGTCTTGTTTGGTTCGATTGAATCGAACTCAAGTTTGTTTCCCCTCTTGGTGCGGACCTTTTTGGCAAGTGTGAATACAGCAATCGCACTCTGGTAAGGATCAAACAACCGTACCGAGACCCAGCTGACGAGGTGTCTCGGTCCACTTCCAAACGAACTTTGGTATGGTTCGTTTAAGGTGTGAATATGACCCGACCTGGATCCAACCCAATTGCAGAAATCACGCTCAGAAACAGACAGCTCGTGCATATAGTGCTGTTATTTGCGTTTCAATGGCTTAAATCACTTGTTTTTAAACCACAATGCTTAAAAACACATGCAAATGATGAGTTTTCGTGACCATGGCGCACAGCAACGTGACGTGAGCGCGCTAAATAGGTTAAAGCTTGCCGCAAAAATTACCATGACTATGTTGGGGGAAATAGTAAGGAGATATTTGTATTATCTATTAATAAACTAGTGTTACTGTAGAAACTTAATTTGCTGTAAAGTTGCTTTGCAATGATTTGTATCGTGAAAAGCGCTGTACAAATAAAATTGAATTGAATTGAATTGAATTGAATTGTTTTATGAGTCAGTGTCGCTATGAAGTTGATGATCCTGACTCGCCATCTCATAATTGGATGCGCCTTTAGAAAGAAATGCATCTTTACGGATTACATAATAGTTTTTGTTTTGGATTTGAATGATTTCGTTTTGTAGTCATTTAAAGCTTTCTATAGATATATTCATCATGTCTGAAAGGAAAAATATTCGCTGAGTTTCGGTGCATTTTTGTGAAGTGCTCCTGTTCAACACCGAGATGGCAAGCGCATCCTATTTGTTTCCTTTATTTTACAAAAGCACAACGTTTTCTTGATATTGTGAGTGCACACAAATAAAAATAGACCCTTTACAGTTCCGATGTATTATTCTTACCTGTATGAGCAAAAATGACGGCGTATTTAATTTTTTTCCACTGATGTCCTGAAGCGCGCTTCAGCTTCCACTCTCCGCACTCTAGGGGAAGTCGTGGCCTAATGGTTAGAGAGTCGGATTCGTAACCCAAAGGTTGCGGATTCGAGTCTCATACCGGCAGGGATTGTAGGTGGGGGGAGTGAAT